GTCTTTTTCTCTTCATCTTAGTATAGTTTCTACTCTATTCTTTTTTTCTTCACTTTTTTGTTCCTTGTTCCTCCTTCTACCCAGGGCAGATCTAATAAAAACTGTGATGCCTACAGGTTAGAAGCTGCAGCATCTAACAGAATCATAGAATCATAGACCAGAAGGGACCTGTAAGATCATCAAGTCTGGTCCCCTGCCATAGGCTGGAGGTTAATAAGCTCAAAGTAGCTCAATGAGGTACTTGTCTAGGCTCCTCTTGAACATCTCCAAGGATGGCGACTGCACCACCTTTGCTGGGAGTGTGTGCAAGTTCTAGTTACCCTTACAGAGAAGAAGTTCTACCTTATGTCTAGCCTAAATTTTCCCTCTATTCGTTTGTGTCCATTGGTCCTTGCCCTCCCATGGGGTATCTTCCTGAAGAGTTGCTCCCCAAAATCTTGGTGCTCCCCCAGACATATTTGTAGGTCGTTATCAATATGTAGGCACCTGAACTCCAGTGGAAGCCAAAAACCCACTTTGGTCCTTAGGCCTTCTGCACATAGCGTATGGAAGGGGGAGATATGGTTGAGGGGGCAACTGAACTCCTACTTATTGGATCAGTATGCTAATCACTAGGTTATTGTATAAAAGATGGATGCTACCAAAATCATCTCCTCTTCCTTTGGCCTAGTTTTAAAAATAAAGTGGCCACAACTGCATTTTGGGAGATATGTGATGTTATCAGTGGGCATGTCTACATGTCCAATTAATGCACATGAATAAACTGCAGAGTTTATTGCCCTGGAGTGTTATACTCCCATATACACTGTTTGAACATATGTCTAGGAGCAAACACTCCAGAGCAATTAGCACATGGAGCCCAGAGGGAGCAACCTGGGCTTGGAGGGGCTGTAGTGTGTCAGCCTGCCAGCCCAGGGCTGCTCCAACAGGACTCCATGTACTGTAGAGTGGTTGGCTGGGCTATGAGGGTGCTTCAGCATGGGAGCTACCTACTGGCTGCACTGAAGCACCCTCAAGACCCAGCGGGCCTGGCACTGTCTACACATGTGGTTAAGCACAGTAATTTACTGCACTGTCTGGTAGTATTTGTGTCTGACGGGACTTTCCAATGGTGCAGAAAATTAATCTACAATGGGCTAATTGCCATGCACATGTAGATGGTGATGCTTTACTGTGCAGTAAATTTGTCTACTGTGCAGCAGAGCACACATGTAGATGTGCCTAGTGTGTGCTAAGTGTGCTATGAGAATACCTCCCTGGTTGAGCCATTCAGATGGCTCCAACTGAGCAAGGGGATTATAGTAAATCCTGTCTAGATGCCAAAGTCCTTTATGGTTCTAAGTGAAAAGGTGATATCTTCCAGGCAGGAAAAGGTTTAGAAATCTCATCTGGGGTCATGCCTATCTCACCTTCCCTTTCACCAATCTATCAAGTGATCCGGATCCTAACAGTAGTGTAGAGATAGAAGGGACTTCTACTCCAACCCACAAAACCAAGCCCCTTGCTATAAGCAGAATCTGAACCTTCACAGGAACTCCCCATTTGTGGTTAAGGCATGGCACTTATACAAGTGAGGACCCAGCTCTCTTCATTTAAATATAATTCAGCGTAATGCAGACTCCCACATTTTTATTTCTTTACAGAGTGAAGATTACATAAAAAGCCCCACGTTTACTCCCACTACTGGGCGTCATGAACATGGACTTTTCAATCTCTACCATGCAATGGATGGTGCCAGTCATCTGCATGTTCTAGTTGTCAAGGAGTATGAGATGGCCATATATAAAAAATACTGGCCAAACCACATCATGCTAGTTCTGCCAAGCATTTTCAACAGTGCTGGTGTAGGTAGGTATATTGGAAAAGATAAAGCAGGTATGTACATGCACACACATGCACATACCATTTTTTACAGTGATTCAGGTTATTGCTATGTGACTACCGGGCAGCAAAATATTCTACACTACTGTTTTGCACTTCAGAAACTTCCTTTTCTTTACTGTGAAGGTAGTTCAATATTCTGTGCTCCAAATGACCACAATGTCCATTAACACCCATACAAGTCATTTCTATTTAACCCAATAATGTTAGCATCAGTGAACAAGACTTGTGCATTCATGGGCAGTTTCTTCCAGGTGTAGTATGCAGCAGAGTGAATTTTTGGCCATAGGCCATTAGCTAATGGGGGGGTCTTACAGCAGCTGAAGGCAATGAAACATCTATCTGGTGGCATCTCAGAAATGAGAAATGTACCTCTATATCTGTATAGTACTGGTTGGGGATGGAGGAAGGTGAGGGTGCCCAGATAATGCTGCTCTAATTCAGTTATACCACATTGGCAGCTTCTGCTAGTAGTGAATATTCTAGTGGTGAATATTCACTGGTGTTATCCTCATAATATGAAGATACAGAGAATGTCCTGTTTCACTCAACAGGATCCACTATTATGTGAAAGTGGATGATGGAGGGAGGTAGTTGTGGAGTTAAATCTATCCTTCAATATTTCAAGGTATTAGCCATTACCTGCTTTATTCTTCAGCTGTTTCATCAGCCTTTAAAACACACTAAATCTATCCCACAAAAGGCAAACTCCTCTAAGTAGTTTCCTAGCTGATATCCCATGCTGCCTAGCAGCATGCCTAGCCCACAACCCAACTGCCTTTGGCAGGCAATGGTAGTATATTTACTTTCGGATGCTTTAATCATCACTCTCCACCTACACTCAGGATTGCATGGATTTCCTTTTCAAAAGGCTTCCAGTTAACAACAATCAATGCCTGACCTCACCCACATACCTCCCAATCCAAAATTTGCCTCCTTATTGATATTCCTTTTTGGTTTCAGGTGCTGCACACTTCCTAATAAAAGAACTGTCTTACCATAATCTGGAACTAGAGCGAAATCGGCAAGAGGAACTAGGGATTAAACCCCAGGACATCTGGCCTTTCATTATCATTTCAGATGATTCCTGTGTTATGTGGAATGCTGTTGAAGTTGATTGTTCAGGAGACAGAAAGAGGTAAAACAGCACAGTTAAGGAACGTGTATTTTCCAGCCAAATTCTTTATTTTCCTGTTGCGTAATAATGGTGTTAAATTGACATCCCTGAAATAGCATGGCTTTTCTTCTGTGTAAAAGTGGGGAATTGAATTTGCCTGGTAACAAAGAAATATATCTGCATGTAGTCCAAAGGTCAGCACTTGTTATTCATCCTTATTTATGTCTAGTCCACCATAGTTTTAGGTCTACTACAGCCTCAACAATATAGCTTGGTTCTTTAGCTGAAGTTGTAAAGGCTTGTGCTTAAGAGTTTTGTGACACAGTCATTGCTGTGTTGGCCAGAATGATGGCAGTAGCCTGTACACTTTCAATGAGATTTAGCAAAGGAGTTTAAAGGATTTTTTTTCCTAATCTCTTGTAGTGAATATACATGGACTGAAAGGAATGTTTCCTTGAAGCAAATTCTGCAACATATTGAATCAACTCCTAATGTCACTCACTACGCCTTAATTGGGATGCGGAAATGGTCCAGTAAAACCAACAGTGCTGAGATCAAAGAGCCATTCTCCTGTTGCCATGTACATGACTTCATCATGCTGAACGTGGATCTGACACAGAATGTACAGTATAACCAGAATAGGTGGGTGAGTCAGGACTAGGATCAACTTGTACAACCTTCATCCTATAAGCTTCTTCACAACTTCAACTATATTTCCTAGGAGACTGCTAATGAGATACAGACACATTTTATTGTTTCTGATTACGTTTATTCCTGATCAAATGTGGCTGAAGAATACGGTTCTCTTTCCATCTAAAATAAAAGCTAAACTTGTTATTTACACTTTTAAGTGGATGAGGCAAAGAAAAACAATATGGCTGGAGGATTCATATTGATTCACTGCATTGTTCCTACTCCAATCAATCTTAAATGCGCTGTCAGCTACTGTGCAGTAACTGTTTATTTATTATACCTCACAGACCTTAGATGTGCCATGCACAGGCATTTCTGTGGTTTTATTCCAGGTCTGGAGAACCAGCTAATAGCAACAAAAGCACCACATATATGGCAGAGATTGGACTAAATAGAACTGGTGACTGAAGTACTCTGTCACCTCTAGAAAGAGTCTTTCTGGCTCAAATCCTAAGTCAAATTTTTCTATGTGCTACTTGCCTATACCACATAACTCCCTGAAAGCATTGCCAGAGAAATACCAGGCAGACCACTTTTCCACCTGCTAACTCAATAGCCTTGTGGTTGGGCCATTGGTCCAGGAAGTGGGAGAACTTGGTGCTAAAGCTTGCTTAGTCTGTGGCTCTGGATGGTTGATCCTCCCCCATTGCTATCTTTCCACTTCATCAGATGACTATAAAGAGCCATTCTTCTGTTGCCATGTACATGTACATGCACACTCTCTTCTTCCAGGGCACTGCCCCCACCCTTAGCCACAGAATGAGGCTTCCTTCAGCTTTCTCTCCTCCTTGTGACCCCTTCTTGGTTCTCCTGTCAGCTGACTTTAACAAGAGGCACTTTGTTAGGTAGTGGAAGAGATACAGAGACAGGTGCTGATATAGCCATGCATGTGGGAATAGCATCTACATTCTGCATAAGTAGCAATAATACTTCTTATATGGCTACATTTAGATGCAAGTAGCACTTAGATGCCTTCAGGCAAAATGGGATTTGGACCTCTGGTTCCTGATTTACTTACAGTGAGGAGAAAACACCTGTGCTCTATGAATATACTGATAGCTTCAGGCTCCATGTTTGTTACTTGGGCCCTTTCAAGAACGTTGTGACTATGCCTCCCATTGTATAGACTTACATTCTTAGGCTCTTGAGTCTGTGATAAAACTGTATTTTTTCATATGATGCATTAACTTATAAGGTAACTTATAAGTTTTTGACAGAAATGTCCCCCAGAACTCAGTGGCTGAATCTGAATAGAGCACAGCAGTTTCTGTACTCTTTGGTACAGAAGGAAGCAAGGTGACTAGTATCATATTCAGTCATCTGTTCAGTCATATTCAGTCCCCAGCCTGAGCAACGAGACATCCAGTCTCACCTGGGAGAACTGGGAGTGGTCTTTAGTAAGTGCTCAGACTTACGCCTGTGGAACCACAGTAAATCACCTTACCTGCACTGTGCCCTCTCGAATGCTAATCAAAGGGAACAGTAATACAATAAAACGCTGCCAAGCAAGAATACGTACTATTCTGCCTGCAGTGTTGAACCACTGGTGGTTATTCATTGTCCTGTATGTGGCTGTCTAGTGAGGTTTTATCAGCATTGTGTGTCAATCCAAGTATGAACTGGTATAGAGGAAACATTGCATTTAAAATGAAAAGAGGCACAAAGCCAAGCCAGGCAGAGATACACAAGACATATACAATTATCAGTGACAGAGCTATCATTTTCAAATGCCAGATTTGCCATTGATCTCTAAATTCACTTTAACTGTAATCTTAATTTTAACAGTTAGAATATGTTACAAAACCACTTGCTGCATGTTTTTTTTTTTAACTTTGGAGTTGAGATGAGGAAAAACAAAAGGCCAGATTGTGATTCTGGCTGTGAATTGTATACCTGCTGAGTTGGCAGAACCATCATTCTGGTTCACTGTATAAGATATACATTCAAAATATTAAAGCAAGTTCAAATTTCAGGGAACCTTAGATGCTTCTTAGATGCAAGCTTAGATGTTTATGCTGAAAAGTCTAGGCCAAACCCAGACCAGAACCAGTGGTTTCCAATCAGTTCTGTATATAATGGTGTGGGCCACACTTGGTACAGTGAAGTCTTTAAACTGGGGAGTAGTTTGGTCTCAGTTTGCATAATTCATTCATATTTCTGTGTAGCTGTGTTGAATGAAGGCATGGCTGCTTCTGAATGCTTGGCCCCGCTGATGCAGACTGACAGAATTTCGGTAGCAGGACACTGCAAATTCCAACACTTGCTCCTTATTCTACAGGAGAAATAGAAAATCTGTATTTCTTTCTCACTAATCTAGGGCTTCAACCACTTCTTTTGAAGTCAGTGGGAATTTTTCTCTTGACCTCATCTGGTGTGGCCTCACACTTTTATCTCAGTGCCTTTTTCAGCTGATGTGCAATAACAAGATTGCACGTGAATTAATATGGTTTCCACTCTTCCCAGATTCACATGTGATGATGTTGACTTCAACCTGCGTGTCCACAGTGCTGGTCTTCTGATATGTCGGTTCAATCACTTCAGCATCATGAAGAAGCAAATTGCCGTAGGAGGACAGAGGTCCTTCCATATTAAGTCTAAGGTGAGAACTGAGAATTCTGTTTTGTTGTTGAAGTGATGTGTTTGTAGATTTTATCAGCCTTTTACCAGAAAAAATGAGGTGTCTTGGTGTACATCCCATTACCAAAGTCAACACAGATGGGCTACTAGATGTTTTCATAAACATGAAGTTTGTTAGGATGCACTATTTTCAGGATATAAATGCACATTTATCTTTGTGAGACATTTTCCTGTGAAACTTCTTAGCCCACATAAAGTCTCTCTTTCCTTTCAAGCAAGAAAGCTTTCACTGTCAACTCATTATGCAGAGTTCTTGTATTGCACTATAGTCCTTCTTTACACCATTCCATGTTCAGGAAGAACACTGGGTGTAAAGCAGAATCCCCAAATTCCATACATCAGCACAGCAAAAATTTCAGTTTTCTAGGGACATTTGGAATGTGGGAGCTAGGAGTTTTGGCTGAACATTTTTTGGTTCCTGTATGAATTTTGGATTTGTGGGACAGTGGAGCAATTTGTGCAAAGTCAAATCGAGATAATCAGAGCTTGGTTGGTCAGGATTGATCTGTACCAGAAATATTTTTCCTCGTAGGTATCTGATACTCCTGTTTCAATCTCACCTGCTCAGTACATTTGTGCTCCTGACAGCAAGCATACCTTCTTGGCAGCACCTGCCCAGCTGCTGCTTGAAAAATACCTCCAGTATCACAGCCATCGCTTCTTCCCTCTCTCACTGAAGAATTATAGCCATCCAGTGCTATCTGTGGACTGTTACCTTAACTTAGGACCACAGGTACTGAACAAAATTATTTTAAAGTAGCTCTGCAGTCTTGGCAGATATTTTAACCCAAGTGTTGCACTAGTTCTCTAATAACAGTCCTGCAGGGTATTTACATGGCCCTTAACCAATAGAGTATTGGATCATTATAACTGTAAAGATCAATAAGATACACATAGAAAATTAATGATCAGACACTACAAATTAAATAATAAAGTCACCTTAGAACCCTGCCATAGTTGTTGTTAGCAATCAAGAGTCCACTTGAGGCTGGGTGGCCTATCTAGCTAGCACCGTAGCCAACGCATTTTAGCTTCTGTAGCTAGCAACACACAAGGAAAAGGATGCAGATAGCATAAATTCTGGCTGTCTTGGCTTCCCAGTCTGGATGACTAGGTACCCGCTGATAGCCAGGTTGATTGGGCTGGGAGGTGAGGGGTGGTACTGTTGGGAGTTTGGGAAGAACACAGTTCTTGGTGCAGATCCAGAACATTGCTTAAACTCATGCTTCTGGATCCCTGGTGAGATACATTAACTGCATTTCCATTGTGCACAATAGTAAGCAGTAGTTTTATTCATTTAGTGCGTATGTTGTATTAGAGTTTGACTTACTAGATACCAAAGCATTTTGTTTCTTCAATATGACATGACCCTTTGTCTAGCTGTATCTATTGCAGTGCTTTTATCACTGTCCAGTTTTCAGCATACCCCCAGTAGGTACATAAATGTAGTATTCTTATTTCATCCAGAATGAAACTGAAGCTGAGAAGTGAATGCCAGAAGTACAATCTGTACAAAAGCTAAGCTTAGAACTTGGGAGTTGCAGGGTGCTAGTCTTGTGCTCAGACCAGAGCTTTTCTCCAAAAGGCAGGCACACATTTAGTCTCAAATTCAGACCAGGTCTGACAGTGATACAGAGGGGGGTTGTCTGCTGGTTTGTTTGTTTTTTGGTTGGTTTTTTTATCTTCCCACCCAACTGGAAAACCACATGTAAATCAAAGTTGGTCTATCTGCCAACTTAACCTCATCACTGAAAGAGCCACGTAGTGGGCTTCACAACTTACTCTGCAGCCAGATTGTTTTGAACCATGCCCTTTATGTTCTTTTTTGGCTGAGTGCTGATAGGCCCAGGTCTTGCCAAAATTTAGAAAAACACTGTATGAAGAGGGAGCATTCTGTTATGTCTTTCCATCAGTCTCTATAGTATGTCTCTTTAGCTGTAAGCCATCCAGCGCATTGCAGGAGTTCAATACAGTTCTGAGCTAGTTGCCAGAGCTGGAAGGTGGTGGAACAGGATTAGTGAATTGGCTCGTTGGAAGATTTCTGTATTTTGAGAGCTACAAACATTTCAAATCTTTAGTGAACCATCAAGATTTCTAAGCAGTTAGAGTAATCAAGGAGACTATTTTTACGGGGAGGGACTGTTACAGTGGCTTGCAAATTCAACCATATCCAGGCACAATAATAATAACATCATTATCCTCATCACCACCTTAACCATCACTTACATAGCATACTTAATCAGTAGAAGGATTTTTGTTTAGAGCAATGCCTCAGAGTAGTTGATCATAAAGGCCATTTCTTTAATTAGGTAGCATTTCTAAATATGAAGCAGGTGCAGATGTTCACACCTTGTTGTAAAGCAGTAGTCAGTAACTTTGTAGTTTGAAGAAAATTAATTTCTGGTTCTTTTTCCCTCCAATTAGATTGCAGTTTGCTATGTGAGTTCCCGACCTCACTCTCTGAACATCAGTTCCTCTGGGTTGATATTCAGTGGCCTCCTGCTCTACCTCTGTGACTCCTTTGTTGTAGCTAGCTTTCTGAAAAAGTTTCATTTCCTGAAAGGTGAGCTGCAGAACAATGCCTACAGATTACAACATCAGCTTGGTGTGGGTTGACCACTCTACCACAGGGCAGAAACTAAAGCAGGTTTGCCTTTGTACATAACGCCTATGCTCCCGTTTTGGGATCGCAGTGACCCTTCGCTATGCTAATTTAGCATCAAATATTGCAATCAATCCTGATTTCCAGAACAAGGGAGGCACTTCATTTATGCTGTTTCATTACCTCTTCTTTGTACATAATTATTTAGTGTGCATATATAGATTGGGTACTTCAGTTTATGCCTTAAGCATTTGCCACTGAATGTCTGCAGTTGTGTCCTTCCGGTTTTCAAAATATGACCCATATTCTCTATTTCTTGGAATAAAAGATAGGTGACTTGATGCTAATAATAATAATATTAATCAGTTTAGTCTCTAAGCTGCTAGACTGTCAGCACTGCAGACCAGTATCCTCTACCTTCACAGCAAACAGTTGTATTACAAAGCTCTTTCATCCTGCTTGTCTTAAGGTGAGGACACATAATATATTTCCATTTGTGTAATCTGCTTGGACACTGGTGTAAGCTTGGAACATAATGTGCAGTCCTACACTAGTGTAAATCACTTCACACTTAGGGAGAATTACTCCTTTGAAAGCCAGGAGTAACTGCACCATCATATAGATATAGCGTGTCTGCAGTTCTACTTAGTTTCATCCCCTGGGAGCAGCTCACTAAATGCTAAAAGGCTGATACTGCCTCCCCTGACATCTCGGGTGCCTGTACATGTGCAGGATGCCTGGTCTGGC